CTGAATACAATCATCCAGAACGTCCTCCTTAGATCACCCTCTCTCTCAAAGCCCTAATGAAGGTGGCCAACCAGCTGCCTGTCAGTGTCAGGAATAATAATCTCAATGAAAGGAAATTCAAATCTTGGTCTCTTAGGTACGGTGGCTGAGAAGTGCAAAACACATTTACAATTCAAAAACACATTAACAAATTAAAAACAAAATAACATTTGAAGAAACAAAATTATATTTTCTGAAACAAATGTATTTATGAAAAAAAAGTTTAAATTTTTAAAAACAAATTTACATTTTAGCAAACAAATTTACATTTTAGGAAATTTTTAAGAAAAAATGATTATTTTTAGTTTTAATACAGTTAATCTTATGGCATGTGTAAAAGGTATGTTGAACACTCATTTTGAACATATTTCTTAATTTTGAACAAGTTTGTGTTAATGATTTAAAACTAAACTATTGATGGGTAAGTATTCAAAGTACAGGAAGGAAAATGTAGGTCAGAGGGGATCTCGCAATGAGGCTCCGGTTGTTTGTCAGGATGGCAGGAGAGGCTCCGCATTCCACAGCTATCTGTGAAATCTTATCTTATGTTTTCCTTAGCCAGATGACCTTAGAATTCCTGGAGGCCAGGCCGTAAATTAGGGGAAGTTCTAAGTTTTTCTGAGTGTCCAAGGTAGCTTCCAATTGGTCAAGCGGAGGGACGCCTTAACTGAATATACTAAAGGGAAAAACACACCTACATTATAAAACTTTTACACAGAAGTAACAAATCAGATTTGCTCTTGCAACTCTCCAAAGATGTCTTTGTACGTCTTTGCTTTCTTTCCTTCTCTCCATTTATGTCAGGTAAATGAATGTATGTCTCCGTTGTTCTGCAGTTTCTGGTGTAAGTTTGTGCAATGTCTTACTTCTAAGTTTATGTATTGTCTTATATTGGATTAAACTCTGTAATTCTGTGACGTCAACACGCATTGCTGGTTTCCTTGGGGCCACACGCAGCTCGCCGGGAGGACCTGGGATCAGAGGAAGAGAGACAGCCAAACTTTTTAGAATAATTTCTTCCTTAACAGAAACAAATTCACGTTTTAAATCAATTAGATTTTAGGTGAGAGAAAGTTTCATTTTAGGGAAAAAAATACATTATAGGGAAACAAAAATACATCTAAAAAAAATTGACCGTTCGTAAACACTTGTACAAGTGCAAAGACAAAACTGCAAGCGGCAAAACACAGTTACATAGCCAAAAACAAATTAACAAAAGACGGCTACACGGAAAGGGAATGTCCCAGAGGCCGGATGTGACGTCACGATTACCCTGACTTGTAGTACAAACAGCTCAATCTGTAGTCCTCCTGCTTCACGTGAAAAGTCAGCTGCGATTTTATTATTGTGGAGCAAATTTCAGCCATTTTACACCATTTTGTTCTTCGTGCGGACGGTCTCTGGAACTTTTACGGGACACGGACCAGGTGGCAGGACCACCGGAACTGCTGCAACGCAGCCACTGCCACGAATTGAGCTCGGCCCTGCTGCTTGGTCCTGCCACCTGGTCCGTGTCCCGTAAAAGTTCCAGAGACCACAATAAGGGCAAAACATTGTTCGGTTAGCGTAAACTTAAGAAAAACAGCTTCAGTGCAATTCTTTCCATCTAAAATCGCCGCTCACCTAAAATCTAACTTGTTTAAAATGTGAATTTGTTTCCTAAAATGTAAATTTGTTTGCTAAAATGTAAATTTGTTTTTAAAAATTTAAACTTTTTTTTCAAAAACACATTTGTTTCATAAAATATAATTTTGTTTCTTCAAATGTTATTTTGTTTTTTATTTGTTAATGTGTCTTTGAATTGTAAATGTGTTTTGCACTTCTCAGCCACCGTACTTAGGGCTACGATTTTAAAATGATCTCATTGGCTGAGATCAGATCAGAAATGACATCCATCCATTATCAGTATTCTTAGGCTTTTCACTGTCTGGTATGTTTTATATGGTTTCAGTCTGAAAAAAACACAAAGGAAACCATGTTTTGACCATGAGCTTTTTTTGCTGCACCTGGTTTTCCTCATTCGCTCAACAGATGGAGAATCAGTCATGCTGCTGGATAAGAAAAGAAGTGGGAGAGCTGTGTTGTCACAGAGTTAAGTGTTGTAACAGGAGACGTGGAGGAAACCAGCTCAGCCGCCGGACCTGTCCTGCATGTAAAACCAAGGTACAAAAATAAGAGTCATCTGGCTGGAATTCCCCTGAACCACAGACGCTTCGCAGTCTGCAAACTTCATGTTGGCAGGAACGAAACTACACATATAACCGAGCAAAGGCAGCACATACATGCACAATAATATACGCATCGTGCAGAAAGTTATTCTCCTGGACAGTTGGTGAAAAATAAATGTCAGTTTTGTTGAAGAGAAAGTAAACTTTAAGGTTTTTCCTCTGTGAACTTTTTACCTCTGCAGTAAACAGAACTTCCTCTTTTGGACATGAATCAGTGCAACACATACAAACATTTACCAACAGCAGATACCCATCTACAAGAACATTTGTAATCTCTGCTGAAAGAGGAACTTTGAGAAGAAGGAGCCATGCACTGCACAACAGAATAAGAATAAACTGTAGTTGAACTTAAAAGAGCTGGAAAAGATCAGATTTTAGGGATTCACGATTGTAAAAAGGAAAAGATAAATGATTACAGCTGTCCTGTGCCTGAACCATGCATGGATAATAAAAAATAATCCTAACATCGCCATCGTAAACCAACTTTTATAAAATAACAACAGCAAAGCACTGCTTGATGCCATCAAAGCGTGATACATTTGGCCTTTTGGAGAGATATCCACAGTTCCTGCAGACACTTTGATTTTGGAGGCTGTGATGCTAGAACTCATAAAAGAACCCTAACCCTAAAAAAAGGAAGAAATGAGTCAAAACATTTGGCTTTAACCTGAATCTTAGACTGAGACAGACTTTATTGTCATTTTATTTGTCATTTCTCCTCATCCTCCACAGGAAGTAAAAGTGCCTTTGTGCCCTTTTGACCCCCACCCATGAACCACTGCTGAGGAAGGATCCCAAGGCTCCAGCTGATGGAGCGCCTGAGTTCAACATGAAAGGGAAGCAGGGCAGCTTGTGACAGGACAGCTGGGAGCCTTTGCTTAATCATCTCCCAAAAACCTGCTGAATTTGGCCCCAATGAGGCTCCATGATTCCTTTCAAAGGTCAAAGTGCTGCTTTCCTGAGCCGTTTCACTTCTGCCTAAGCTTTGTGTTAATACAGAGGTACCCAAAGATATTTTTATTGATGCTAATCTATCTTTAACTTACCTGGATCTCATCTGATGAACAGAAGGTGTTTAATGTAATCAAACTACTGGTTCTGATGGATGTTTTTTTAACCTGTTTCCAAGGGCGTAGGTTTGATTTCAACTTTGGTAGGGGCACTATTGGTCTGATGTAATTGGTCCTATGCAAAATGATGCATGCTCTGTTTTTTTATGCTTGACGTGGAAATCAGGATGTATTTTGTTTAAAGAGAAAAGCAGCATTTCTTGCTACATTTGTAAAACTTTTATAAGCGCTACACACACTAGATGCTGTTTATCAATGTTTAATCATCAATCATCGGCTCTGATGAATGAGGAATTATGACTTTTTTCAACTTTGAAAAGGTTTGCATTTGAAATGACCAGCGACTCAGACAGAAAGTAAATCTGTGCCTATTTAACAAAATATAGTCTAAATATGTCTGTTATATGTGGATTTATCCTGTTTTTTTCTTTTGAAGGTTTACAATTGTGCAGAGGTAAAACCCAAACTTATCTTTTAAATATTCTCTCTGTATCATGAAACAAAGCAAAATAATAGATTCAAGGGACACCAAATAATTCATTGTATAGTTACTCTATTTAACCCATATCATGTATTTTATCTTGGGCTGAAACAATTCATCGGAATAATCGATTATTGAAATGTCAACAAACGTAGTAATGAATTTATCGTTAACTGATAAATAGAGACTCTAAAACATGTCTTTACCACACAGATCGACCCACTTAGAGTAGGAATTAAACCAATTCCATTACAATACCATTGTAAAAAAAATATAAAAACAAAAATGTTTTCGTCTCAGTATTCTCCATCCCCTCTACTGCTGCAACAAAGCTGTATTGTAAATTATAAACATGTTATTCACATCTAATTGTTGGTAGGGACAAGTAGGTCGGTCCAAAATTTTGGTAGGGACATGTCCCTATGGTCCCTATGCATAACTACACCCATGCATGTTTCTGACAGAGAGGATGTGACCTGCCTGGCTGAGTCACGCCTGCCAACATCTACAACAAACAGCAGAGCAAACAGCATCACTTCCTGCTGCAGACCAAACTGGAATATTTTCAAAATAAAAGAAGCTCCTCCTTCAGAGGTTTTTTAAGGTTTTTCCAAAGTGCTGTGAGAAACTGTTCAATCATCCGACAGATACTTATATTTGATTAAACCTGTTTTTAGCTGAGGCTGTTTTATCCATCTTCCAGGTCTGAATATGACAGCAGGAAACATTATCATCGGAATACATGAGGGGCAAAAAAAAAAAGAGTTATATGCTTGGCTTCAGAGAAACATCGTCCACACAGGGAACAGTAGGGAACCTTCTCAGGAGAGGCTGAGCAACTAAATTATTCAAGGACGTTTCCAGGAGGTTACAAAAGAACCCGGAACAACATGTGAAGTTCTGCAGACATCATTGGCTTCTATTAAGCATTTAGATAAATACAAAAGTGAATAAATAAATAAAGTTAATAAATACATCTTTAGAAATGAAATAAAATGTATAAATACATCAATAAAATTGATAAATAAATGCATTCATCTATAAAAATGAATAAATACATCAATAAAGATGAATAACTTTGCAGCCAATTTACTAATCCTTGGTTCTTATTTTGAAATACAGGAAGAAGGAAATGATGTCATAAGGTGTTTAGTGGTCTTCCGGTGTTCCAGCTGTGTTTCCGTCTGTTCTTCCACCGTGTACCAGGCTGACGGCTGCTGGAATGACAGGGGGGGGGGGGGGGGGTGTTCTGGTTCTATATAAAGCAGTGATGGACTCAGCCAGGGGCCACAGGGACCCACAGCCTCAGCTGGACATTAATCATGGGAACCATCATCTCACAGATCTTCTCCAGGTTCACCTCCAAGATTCCTGTCAGGATTTTAATGGGTGAGTTTTGAATAATTTCTGCCTAATTAAGGTTAAAAACTATTTTATTACCGGTGCATTAATATGATGACCTTTCAGCTCAGATTGTTGCTCATTTTACTCCTTATTGAAATCCATGTTCAATGTGTTTTATTAGGATTATTGCAGGACATTGATGACAGCAATAATTCAACCTTTTAAGTTTATAAGTTAGGCCTTTTTATTGGAACCTCGGCTATAAATGAGTGAAATAAGAGAAAGTTTTACTGCAGAAGAGGGAAAAGGTTAAGAAAGAAAGTTTAAAATAGAAATGTAATCTGTGGGGAAAATGAGAAATGTTCACGGTTAATGTTTGGGGACAATAAGTGCACCGCTGATGGTTTTAATGAGATCTCAGAGAAATGATGCTGCAGGAAACATTTCCACTGAATTAATAATTTCACAATAAAACCTTTTTAAGTTTCAGCTGAAGCTTCTGTTTTCAGGCTGTCAGATCTGATCCAGTGAAGGTGGAGAACAGAGGATAATTGTTGTGTCGTTACACCATTGCACATTAATGTATCATTGTCACATTTAAGTAGTCCAATCTGATATTTGGACCAAGCGATCCGGTACCAGAACAAAGGCCTGGTTCTGACTGTCTCTCTCTCTGCTGTGTTTGTGTCTGCAGTGGGTCTAGATGCTGCAGGGAAAACCTCTCTGCTGTACAGACTGAAGCTGGGTGAGGTGGTCACCACCATCCCCACCATCGGTGAGTGATTCGAACCTGTCCTCTCCATGTTCACACTGACCGGAGCCGTTATTTAAAGTCACATGTCTCCAGGTTTTAACGTGGAGATGGTGGAATATAAAAACATCAGTTTTACTGTTTGGGACGTCGGTGGTCAGTCCGTCATCAGACCGCTGTGGAGACATTACTACACCAATTCTCAGGTAAAACCACTACAGGCGTGAGGAGGCGTGTATGGAGAGGCTTCCATGTGAGGTCACATGTGGCGTCACTTTGGCTCGACGTGATGTGACTTTGACTCGATGTGGCCTCGCTTTGACTCGATGTGGCCTCACTTTGACTCGATGTGGCATCACTTTGACTCGATGTGGCATCACTTTGACTCGATGTGGCATCACTTTGACTCGATGTGGCCTCACTTTGACTCGATATGGCGTCACTTTGACTCGATGTGGCCTCACTTTGGCTCGATGTGGCCTCACTTTGACTCCATGTGGCATCACTTTGACTCGATGTGGCCTCACTTTGACTCGATGTGGCGTCACTTTGACTCGATGTGGCCTCACTTTGACTCGATGTGGCGTCACTTTGACTAGATGCGGCATCACTTTGACTCGATGTGACCTTACTTTGACTCGATGTGGCGTCACTTTGACTAGATGCGGCATCACTTTGACTCGATGTGACGTCACTTTGACTCGATGTGGCCTCACTTTGACTCGATGTGGCGCCACTTTGACTCGATGTGGCCTCACTTTGACTCGATTTGGCCTCACTCTGACTCGATGTGGCCTCACTTTGGCTCGATGTGGCTTCACTTTGGCTCGATGTGGCGTCATTTTGACTCGATGTGGCGTCATTTTGACTCGATGTGGCGTCATTTTGACTCGATGTGGCCTTACTTTGACTTGATGTGGCATCACTTTGGCTCGATGTGGTGTCACTTTGACTCGATGCGGCATCACTTTGACTCAATGTGGCGTCACTTTGGCTCGATGTGGCGTCACTTTGACTCGATGTGGCATCACTTTGGCTCGATGTGGCGTCACTTTGGCTCGATGTGGCCTCACTTTGACTCGATGTGGGCTCACTTTGACTCGATGTGGCATCACTTTGACTCGATGTGGCCTCACTTTGACTCGATGTGGCGTCATTTTGACTCGATGTGGCGTCACTTTGACTCGATGTGGCCTCACTTTGACTCGATTTTTGCGTCATTTTGACTCGATGTGGCCTTACTTTGACTTGATGTGGCATCACTTTGGCTCGATGTGGCGTCACTTTGACTCGATGCGGCGTCATTTTGACTCGATGTGGCCTTACTTTGACTTGATGTGGCATCACTTTGGCTCGATGTGGCCTCACTTTGACTCGATGTGGCGTCATTTTGGCTCGATGTGGCCTCACTTTGACTCGATGTGGCGTCATTTTGGCTCGATGTGGCCTTACTTTGACTTGATGTGGCATCACTTTGGCTCGATGTGGCGTCACTTTGGCTCGATGTGGCGTCACTTTGGCTCGATGTGGCGTCACTTTGGCTCGATGTGGCGTCACTTTGACTCGATGCGGCGTCACTTTGGCTCTATGTGGCGTCACTTTGACTCGATGCGGCGTCACTTTGGCTCTATGTGGCGTCACTTTGACCCTATGTGGCCTCACTTTGACTCGATGTGGCCTCACTTTGACTCGATGTGGCGTCACTTTGACTCGATGTGGCGTCGCTTCGGCTCGACACATGGAGGCCACTCCATTCACACCTGTTTATGACAATGTAACACAGTGGATGTCTAACCTTAACCTTCCTGACAAATAGTATGTTATTCCTGTTAAAATGAAGTAAGCAATCCAAAGTAACATAATCTTCGCCCCAACTTTTTGTCTGCAGGGTCTAATTTTTGTGGTGGACAGCAACGACCCTCAGAGGATTAAAGAAGCAGTAGAGAACCTGCACATGCAGGTGAGCCTCCGTTTAGTGATTCTCAAGCTGTTTGCTTCTGGTGGCATTGGCTTATTCCCTGATCTTTGTTTTCTGATGTGCTGCTCAGGCCCCGTCCACACGAAGTCAAAACGAACACGAAACGCTGCTATTTTCCAGAACGTTTGTCGTAAAGACGGAGACGTAAAATAAATGTGATTGTCCACACGAATGCATGAAAACGCTGCAAAATGTATGCCAGGCCTGTAAGTGGCGCTGTGGTGCCAAAGCAAAAATAGGCGACGAAATGTTGGGCATGCGCACTAATATTTATACATGGTTGCCCTGCGGGTCCATTTTCGTGGTTCAGTCAAATTCAGGTGCTGAACTATGTCGTCGATATTGCTCTGTTCTTCCTGGAGATATTCCAGAAGAAGAAGATTCTGTTGTAAGCCCGACAGCAGGGTGAGTAGCATGAGCAGCAACCATTCAACACAGTACGGCGCCATTGTCGACGCATGACGCATGCGTGTAAAAAAAAAAAATGCGGTTAGAGCTTAAAGATGGAAACGCGAAAACGGCGTTTCAGAATCTTCCCACTCTGAAGGCTGAATAAAAAAAAGATCGTTTACAGACCCCCGAAACGCCGACTTCGTGTGGATGAGAGGCTGGTTTGGTGAAAAATTTGTGCGTTTAGGCCAGGGTTCGGCTTCGTGTGGACGGGGCCTCAGTTTTTCTCCACTTAAAACAAGTGTGACCTTTTTTTCACACTGTCTACGGAAGAGGATTAGGGCCACTGTGTTGGGTTCAAAAATGTAGGTTCATAAAAGAGAAACTGAGTCTACACAGAAGAGGGATTTTTTAACGGCTTCTGCAGAAGGAGAGAGCTACGTTCAGCTACATCTACTCTCTGATGGGCTTCCTCAGCAGAAGCCTTTTTATTAGCAGATCATAACAGATGGGGTGGGTTACAAAATAGAGTGTTCTTCTGACAAGGCAATTGATCAGGTCATAGGACAAAATGCTCCTCTGATTGAATCACAGAATAGAGTGGTCTCCTGATAACTGTGATTAGCCTTGCACAAACATCAGCAATTTTCTACCACCGTTGCATGACAGTTTGCAGTAAACAGAGTGAAGCATCTCATTTCTCCAATGTTCCATATGCACATACATTAACTTTATAATCATCATTTAATAAACCTAACACACTGAAAAAAGAAAAAAAATTTAACTGATTTTTAAATTTTATTTCAGTTTGATATGGGGAAAAAGTCAGAATTCCGACTTTTTTCCCCAGAATCCTGACTTTTTTTCTCAGAATTCTGACAGATAACAAACATGTTAGCATCAAGCCATAGCCATGTCTGTTTTAGAGACTAGCTCTCTTGTTTTCTGCTCCTCCATTAATGAGGGGACCCCTCGGGCACGTAAAAAGTTGCCTAATTCCATCATTTTTCACCACTGTGTCACTGGTCCTCTCAAACAACTCACATCTTTGTCAGTGAAGCTGAGTGCTCTCACATCTCTCCCTTCATGGTGCCTATCTACATTAAGATCCAAAATTCTGAGATTAAAGTCAGAATTCGGAGAAAAAAAGTCTGAATTCTGAGATTAAAGTCAGAATTCTGAGAAAAAAGTCAGAATTCTGACTTTTTCCCATATTAACCTATAATAAAATTTAAAAAACAGTTAAAGGAGAAGTTCGGTTTTTTACACTTTAAGCCCATTTTCTGTAGTGTCCAGGATGAAATCGAATGATCGACACCAAAAGTTTGACAATTGCTCCTGTCTCTGCTTTTTGGCTCATTTAGAATCACCCCCTGGCTGTTTTAGAATGGCTAGCATAGAGCATGTCCGATAATGTCCTTAAAACAACCTTAAACGTTCTTTTTTTAAAATATGCTACTCACCGTGTCGTCAGCGCTGTTCAATGACGTTGCAAAAAAAGTTTCGTAAAGAAAAAACGTTCCTGTAGTGTTTTATTTAGCATTTTGTAAATCCCATTGAGTTCTGTTGGAATAGTCAATATTCCCCTGCCACCGGAAACGGAAATGGGGCCTGTTTACACAGTTGTAGTCTTTTCGCTTCACTCTGTGTACTCCGACGTCGAGGTGCTAACGTCTCTGTTAAACACTTTAAAAAACTCTGAAAATGGAATACGAAAGGTGGATTCTTGATTCTCGACGTCGGAGTACACAGAGTGAAGCGAAAAGACTACAACTGTGTAAACAGGCTCCATTTCCGTTTCCGGTGGCAGCGGAATATTGACTATTCCTACAGAACTCAATGGGATTTACAAAATGCTAAATAAAACACTACAAGAACGTTTTTTCTTCACGAAACTTTTTTTGGAACGTCATTGAACAGCGCTGACGACACGGTGACTAGCATATTTAAAAAAAAGAACGTTTAAGGTTGTTTTAAGGACATTATCCGACATGCACTATGGCAGCCATTCTAAAGCAGCCAGGGGTGGATTCTAAATGAGCCAAAAAGCAGAGACAGGACCAATTGTCAAACTTTTGGTGTCGATCATTCGATTTCATCCTGGACACTACAGAAAATGGGCTTAAAGTGTAAAAAACCGAACTTCTCCTTTAACAGCCCTTACATGAGGCACAGATTTTAAGTCAAAACTAGTTAAGCTTTAATTTGTTCATCTTGACATTACTGCCACCTACTGGCCATGGAGAGAAACGCCACCCAGTCACTGTGTTTTCTGTACCAGGATTGTGTTCCTGCAGCTGCTGGTCCGCATATGGACCCCAGTAACTTTGGCAATATATACTAAAAGATAATGTATCTAAAAAATGTCAAATAGTTTAAAAAACAGCTTATTATTTTTTTAATGCTCCAGCTTTATAACATTTTCATAGGGAAAATTTTTTTTTTTAATTAAAACACAATATAAACTGTGTTTGAAATAAAAATGAAATAAGTTTGATTATGAAATGTAAGCATTTTCTTAATAGCTGGTATAAAACTGCTGATTTAGTTGTGGCTGTAAAGTGAAAGTAAAGAGATGAATCTCAGGTTCTGAAAAGGTTTTTGCTCTTTGGCCACGACTGAGATTTTGTTTTTCTAACTCCTGATAAATCCTGTTTCCAAACTTCCCAGACCTGTCTGGTTGGACTTTATGCAGAATCCTATGATGTCTGTTGGTATTCTGTTCTGAAGCATGGCGGGGGCAGCATCATGATATGGGATTACAACTTTTCTTGCAGCAGGGAAGCTGGTTCTGTTATAAAATAGGAACGAAAAAAAAAACTACTAAAATATAAATTTGCTGAACTTGAAATAAGTGATCACATGAATTCTATTCAGTTAATTTCTATCGCTCCAATTACCAACATACAATCTCAGATCACTTTATGGATCCACATCATCAGATCTATTAATCGACCCTACAAGAAACAGGAGATGTTGACTCTTCAGCAATCCCTCAGACTGAGCATTTTTTTTAGTGACAGGAAAAAAAAATCCCTTTTAACGAGAAGAAACCTCCAGAAGAAGCAGGCTCAGCTTGAGCGCTGAGGTTGACTGGGGTTCAAGGAGACAGAAGCAGACATAGAAAATGAACACAGAATTTCTGATCTATAGACACCTGAGAGAAAGGTCAAAGGCCAATGGCTGCTGTAGCTTCTGACTTTAATCAGCAATTTGTGTTTCTGCAGTTGGACGAGGATCAACTGGCTGGAGTCCCTGTACTCATCTTTGCCAACAAACAGGATTTGCCACAAGCCATGTCGGTCAGTGACATCACAGAGGCTCTGAACCTATCAGGAGTGCAGCAACCGGTAGGTACTTCCTGTGCTTAGATGATCTGTGGACGTTTTGGGAGAACAGAATGACCGTTGTCCTGCTCTCTGTCCTTCCAGTGGTTTGTCCAGGGCTCCTGTGCCGTCAGCGGCAGCGGTCTGGTGGAGGGTCTGGACTGGCTCTCCGATCAGATCCAGAAAAAATAGCACTGATTTGTGCCGAGTCATTGAAGACCGCAGGCGGCCTTTGCTGCTGCTTCTCTTGAGAAACCTGAAGGATCTTCTGATAAACCTTAATATTTATGGCACTTTACCCTCATGTCTGTTAGCCAGACACAACTGTCTGTGTTTGAACTTTTACTCATTAACATGAAAACACTCTGACCCCAGGAATCGGTTTGATTTGGGAATGTTTTCATCCCTGAGAGATTCCCTGTTTTGCCTTTTGATTATCTTTTCCTCTGAACACAGCCTTGTGGTCTAAGTTCTTTGCTTATGTTGGTGTTTTTGCAGCAGTTTAAAACAACTAAAGTTCTGATGGTGAATTTACAGATGAACGGAGAGAATCCACCAACATGCCTCATTTTCTGCTGCTTTTACACCTTATTTTATAGGACAATGTATTTATTGTAAAGTCAGAATGTGATCTAATTTTCTAAAATAAAATTCAGAAGTAGTCGAGTCTTTCTTCCTTATTTTATGGACTAAGAGACACCCTGCTGAATTCATTTAATGCCTTAAAAACATTAGGAGTCAATTCAATATACTGTAGTGCAAAGTCACAACACATCACTGCAAGGTACATTACAGAGACAATTTAACCAGATCATCCAGTCAGATTGATTCAAAGTTTTCTATCTAAGGAAAACTAGTTGATTGCATCGACTCATTGACTCTTCAGCAATCCCTCACACTAAGGATGCTTGTAGTGACAGTGGGGAGGAAAAACTCTCTATTACCGGAGAGAAACCTCCAGCAGAACCAGACTCAGTGTGAGCGGCCATCTGCTGAGGCCCACTGGGGTTCAAGGAGACAGAAGCAGACATAGAAAAAGCAGCTATTAAAGGCGGCCAGGCAGACGAGCACCGAGCCAGCTCCCATGTCAGAGGACGAAGAGAGCACATCCAGTTAGTCACAGTCAGAGAAACAGGACTACACTGAAAAACAGGCTGATCTCCAGCATCTATAAACAAAGATGTTGATGGCAGCAGGACAGCTGATATTTCAATTTGAAGAAATAAGAGAAAAGACAAGTAGAAGAAATTTATTGATACAATTAATTGGTCTTTGGCGCTCAGACCTCAGCAGGAAACATAGCGCTGAATTTTTATAGATATGCATGAACAGGAGCAAAGAACAGTTTCCCACCAGGTCTGAAACTGGTTGTGGAGAAAGAGGAAGCTGGTCCGTCTGTAGACTGCTGGTTAGAGACGGTCTGCTGAGCTTTATGGAGAGATCCAGTGGACTGCATGAGCTGATACTAGAGCTTCACTCAGGGACCTGGAAGATGGAAGTCCAGTTGGATAACACAGGTTGAGAGAACCTGTCCATGGTGAGCAAGCATGGAGCGACAGTGGAGAGGAAAAAGTCCCCATTGGGAAGAAACCTCTGGCAGAACCAGGCTCAACATTTGAAATTTGAGTCAACAATAGTAGCATTAGTAGGAGGTGAAAACCCTTTGGACATACACACAGAAACAATGATTATCATCCTTTAAATAACAAAATTACTCCTAAAACAAAATATAAGATTTAAACCTAAAATCAAACACATTTAAAGTATTATTCAGCGATAGTTCTTTACACTCTAGTATTCATTTACTTTTCTCGCACACATTTTAAAGAATTCCCTTTTAAATTTCCCGCTGCCATTCAGTTCCATTCTGAGCTGAAGTTTCTTCCACAGTGCACCTGTTCAACCGATCCAGAAATTGATACAACTCCTCCAGAACATGTTTGGCACCAATGACATTGGTCCCTGGATCAGACCAGATCTTTTTAGGATGACCTCGAATAGCTGTAAATCTTTGATAAGCCATTAGAAAACTTTCAGTTGACATGTTGTTAGCAAGCTCTGTGTGAATTGCTCTGCTGGCCATGCAGCAGAATGTCAACCCCCAAACCTTCATCTTTAATTTGATATGGTCCAAACAGGTCAACTGTTGTAAACTCAAATGGGTCTGTGGGCCGAGTTCTTTCTTGAGGTAAATCATTCATTACTTGCTGACATAATTTGGCTCTGGTTTTCTTGCAGATCTCACAATTGCTAAAGACTTTTTGAGCAATTCTTCATCCTTTGATGACCCATGCTTTCTTTCTAATCTTCAAGTGAGATGCAGCCACTCCCTCGTGGCCTCTGTTGTGAGCTTCACAAACCAACAGCATTTAGACCCAGGCATTGTATGGTAACAGGGGAACACCAATCCTGTCTTCATTAAAAGCCTGGAATCTCCCACCACAAACCAGAAGCCAGATTATTCCTCTTTGTAGACCACCAAATGGTCTAATGTAGTAGCTGGAAAGGTAAAACCCTCTTGTGCAGCAAGAAAAGATCTCTTAAAGGAATAGTACACCCAAAACATGATTAGCCTTCATTTTCTACTCACCCCCATGCTGAACAACACTCTGGAGTACTTTTTTGATATCTCAAATGCATCTGGAGATCTGGGAGGCTTCTTGCTGTCTGCTGACATTCAAATAATGGAGGTCTATGGCGCCCGAGGCAGAAAGGTCCATAAAAGTCCACAAAAAACGTGTCAATATTCCTCCATACTGCTCGTCCAATGTATTCCAAGTGTCCTGAGTGGGTAGCGTCCAGAATTTACTCGAAACGAAGTCATTTAGAATGTTTTTAGAGCATAAACAGTAGTTTATAGGATTTCCTGAAAGCGCGCGCCGGCGCGTTCATGACGCTACGGAAACCGCGGCAGACCAAACCAGATGAAAGTGCGCATTCAGCGTCTGCTCTGCCGATAATGCAAGCGTAGAAGAATAAATGTGCTGTTTACCTGTGCAAAGAAAGAAACAACGAAAGAAAAATGTCTGAGGACTTCAGTGTTGAGGAAGAGCATGAGTTCTTTGCCGAGCTGAATGCGCACTTTCATCTGGTTTGGTCTGCCGCGGTTTCAGATGGCAGAGGGAGGCGGGAAAGGATGGACAGATTATTTCATTTAAATTTTTTTGTGTTTTTTTTACAAGTTCAGGTTCTGTGTTGCTGTTATTGTTAAAATAAATTATTAAATTGTTTATAAAAGTTATTGTTGTCGGTGTGTTATTAAAGTCTTTTAACCTTTTTACATGATCTGTTTCATCACTTCTTTACAATTTAAGTAAACTTAGAACAATTTCTCAGTGGCAACATCAGTTTATTTTTAGAGAAGCAAGTATTTACAATAAACTTTTAAAAACATTTTTAACTAGTTACATTAGATTTTAAAATGAACTACTGCAGCCATTTATGGAAGATATACAATAAATATTACTAGAGAATATATATATATATATTTGTATACAATTGTCACTGAGCAGGAGTCCCTGGTGGTGCTGCTGGACTGGATGCGATGCCACACAGATGACCTTGGAGTCTCCTGACTGCGAGTGGGACATCATCTGGGGGGTGGCTCTCTCCACTGTTCACCACATCGTCCATCAGGGTTTGCGGGGCTGACCAAATCGACGGCTGCCATGTTACTAAAAACTGTTTAAGAAGACGCAGAAAATAATGACTTTACTAAAACTGTTTTCATAACCCTGAAATGAGAACAGCTAAAATGTGATTCTACTTTCCATCTAAATGTAACGGTGGTCGGGTAGACCCTCCTCCAGGGCAGACACCTCGGCAGACAGCTGGTCCCTCCATGGTGCAACACTGAGTTGTGTTCCTAACAGAGCACTTCGCTCTCAATCTGCAGGCTTACTAGTGGTTCCTAGAATTTCTAAAAGTAGAATGGGAGGCAGATCTTTTAGTTCTCAGGCTCCTCTCCTGTGGAACCAACTACCAGTTTTAGTCCGTGAGGCAGACACCCTGTCTACTTTTAAGGCTAGGCTTAAAACTTTCCTTTTTCATAAAGCTTCTAGTTAGAGTGGCTCAGGTTATCCTGAGCTATCTCTATAGTTCTGCTGCTATAGGCTTAGACTGCTGGAGGACATAGGGACCCCTTTTTCATCATTCTATCTCTATTCTCCCACTCTGCAGAATCTGTTAGTTCAATCTCTAACGTTCTGCTCTCTGCTTTTTCTCACAGTAGTTTCATCTGGTCTGTTCCTGTTTGGCTGTGACTCCATCCTGGAGAGAAATATCAGCTGTGCTGCTGCCATCAACACCTTTGTTTCTAGATGTTGGAGCTTGGCCTGTTTTTCAGTGTAGTCCTGTTTCTCTGACTGTGACTAACTGGATGTGCTATCTTCATCCTCTGTCATGGGAGCTGGCTCGGAGCTCGTCTGCCTGGCTGTGTGTTTCCTGGACCGGGCCGCCTTTTACAGCTGCTTTTTGTATCTCTGCTTCTGTCTCCTTGCACCCCAGTCGGCCTCAGCAGATGGCCGCTCACACTGAGCCTGGTTCTGCTGGAGGTTTCTTCCTGTTCAAAGGGAGTTTTTCCTCTCCACTGCCACTGCAAGCATCCTTAGTGTGAGGGATTGGCTTCGAGTCATTGAGTCGATGCAATCACCTGGTTTTCCTTAGATGGAAAACTTTGAATCAATTTGACTGGATGATCTGGTTGAACTGTAAAGTGCCCTGAGATGACATGTGCTGTTAATTATATATAGAAATAAACTGAATTGAATAGTATCCTCCAAAAGCACCAGGAAGATGCTCCTGGGCTCTATAGCTGTTAAGATTCAGACTGAGGACCCAGAAACAACCAGAACACAACAGGAAATAACTTTAAAAGATTTATTGAGGGAATAATGCAGGTTTTTCAGGATCAGAGGAGCCAAAGCCTCTGGAGGGGAGAGAACAGGTTAGTGGCTGAAATTGATGATTTTAGGTTCAGACTGATAAGCCACTAACCTTTCTTAATATCCAGGTGGGGTGTCTTGGTTCCAGAGAACTTTGGTTGCTTGACAGAATTCTCACTGAGGCTTGGCAGAGTATCTTGGTCAAAGGAGGTCCAGGATCAGAGCCAGGTGATCAGATTTTCAGATAATCCAAAACAGAATCCAGGGACAAGGTCAGGGCACAGAAACAGGTCAGGGATCCAGGCGGCACAAAAAACAGATCCAACAAGGGGTAGGCAGGCTCAAAAAATCAGGAGGCAGAAAAAGGTCAGGATCAGGTAGACAGACAGAAAAATGCTGGATGCTTACTAGCCAAGGCTTTCAGGCAATCTGGCACTGTCAACTAGAGAGAGGCCTGCTTAAGAAGGCTGGCAAACAGGTGAGAGGAATCATTGGCAATTAGGCTGAGCAGAGGCAGCACAGAGCGGAAGGGGGAGGGGAATGAAAATACTAGTTGACAGGCCAGAAACATAACAGTACCCCTCCCTCAAGGTCCGGCTCCCGACGGACCTCGAGGTTGATCCGGGTGCAGACGATGGAACTCCCGGATGAGGGACTTGTCAATGATGAATCTTGCTGGAATCCATGATCGTTCTTCTGGTCTGTATCCCTCCCAATCCACCAGGTAATGGACCCCACGACCCCTCCTCCTGGAACGGAGGATACGTCGTACGGTGTAGATGG